CCCCCCCCCCCACACCTCCCCCCCACACTCACCTGAGCATCCAGGTGTCGTAGTCGATGTCCGTCATGGTGTTGGGGAACTCCAGGTCTTCGGGCCGGATGGCCGTGACCCCTGCCAGAGGGAATCCGAGCGGTGAGGGGCCGAAAGGGACCCGGAGAGGCCGCCCAGCCCCCCGCTCGCCCTAGCCCCGCCGGGGGTCCGCCCAGACCTCCCGCACACCCTCCCCCCAGATAACACACTGCGGAACAGGCTTTGCCCTGCAACCACCCCGGGCGGCTTTGCAGCCGTACGAGCCCCCTGCCGCTTAGCCCCCAGTTGATTTTCCCTTCCTAAGTGGGGGCCGGGCTGCTGGTCTTCACTGAATTTCAACTTGGTGAGGTCAGACCAGTTTGGCGCGGTCGGTTCGACTTCTGATCCGGCCCCCGAAAGCGCTGGCGACCCCTCCCGGCTCGGGGGCCGCCACGAATTCGGAAAATACACTCGCCACTCCGTTATCCAGGTGAGTCACGAAACTAGGGATGAATGCCCCACGTGGGACCCCACTCGCTCTGAGCTCGTGTGTCACCGGGTCGCAATGTAATTCGCTCGGCGCTGAGATGCAGCCACGTCTGGGGCAGGGCGGCCGGTTACACAGGGACCCCTCGCCCGCCGCTGAGATGCAGCCACCTCTGGGGCGGGGCGGCCGGTTACACAGGGACCCCTCGCCCGCCGCTGAGATGCGGCCACCTCTGGGGCAGGGTGGCTGGTTACCCAGGGACCCCTCGCCCGGCGCGGAGATGGGACAGGAAGTGAAACCGACCGCTGTCCCCCAGTGGCGCTCTCTGGGTGGGTGGGGAATTACGTCAGGGAAGTGGGGCCCAGGGACTCCACCCCCCCATTTCCCCGTCTCTCACCTGCCTCTATAGAGCCGGACCAGCGATCCACCATCTTCTGAATGACGATCTCAAAGAGTTCACCGTCCCGGAGGGCCCTGCGCGGGGAGAGGGGAGAGCGGTGAGCCCTGGCACCGGAGCCGAGGGGGCGGGGGGAGGAAGGGGGGGACGGCGCCCGGCTCTGCCCCACACACCGACCGGTTGGAGATGACGATGGCGTCGTTGAACTCGCTACGACAGTTCTGGCGCAGCGCCGTGCGCCCGCCGTTGGTGATCACCGCGTTCGCGCCGTGCAGCTGGTGGAAGCGCAGGTCGCTCACAGAGGCCGCGGACGAGGGGCTGCTGGGCGACAGCTGGTTGTTGCCCTCCGACAGGTCATCGGGCAGCGGGAGGAGATCTGGGGGGGAAGCGAGGGAGGCGGGGTGTTCCCGGGGTGCACGGGGGGGCCCACCCCGCTGTACCCGAGCCCCTAGGACCCCCCCGGGCACCAAGAGACAGGCTCCCCCTGCACCGAGATAAGACCCCACCCCCCTCCCACCCCCAGTTCTATTCCAGCCCCGAGACCCCCCAGTACTGAGACACAGCCCCCCCCATATCCCAGCCCCTAGGGCCCCCCCGGCACCAAACCCCCCCCCCCCCCCGCTTTATCCCAGCCTCCCGGGACCCCCCAGCACTGAGACACAGCCTCCCCCATAGTCCAGCCCCTAGGGCCCCCTGGCATCAAGACATAGCCCTGTTCCCCCCACCTATATCCCAGCTCCCCCCCCCATATCCCAGCCCTGGGACCCTCCCACATGGACACGGCCCTGGTCCCCCCCCCAGATCCCAGCCCCCACCCCGGAAGCACGACACGGCCCTGTGACAGTGCCCCCCCCCACCCGCCACTACCCCCCAGCCCCACACCAGGCCCCCCAGCTCACCCGTGTCGTCGAGGATGGTGGCCTGCGCCGCCTGCCCATACAGATCCACCACGGCGTAGACATTGGGGGGCACGTTCCAGGCGGCCGGCCCCTGCGCCACCCCGTTGACGAAGAAATGCAGCGTCCCGTCCTCCTTGCGAACCACGCCCACCGTGTCGCCAGCCTGGGGGGGGGGGGGGGGGGGGGGGGGGG